CACTTAAAATCCAAATGTTTGCAAAACAAATTTTTTTCCACCTCGAAAAGTTTTTTGCAAAATTATTATGCATAAACCTTTAGTTCCACAGTAAAATCATCCGATTTCTCACTAAAAAAGTGGCAAGAGTCAAGTTCAAATCGACTCTTCGTTCAAAACACAGTCAATCAGTCAAACAAAATGAATATAATAATCACATTAGTTATGCAATAAAGCGCTAAAACAGAAGAAACAATATGAAATTGATTATTTTTACTGCTCACTCTTTTCACACTGCATTAAAACAATTTATTTATTTATTTTTGTATTTTTTTGCATTTCTTGCAAAAGTGTGAAATAAAAAGAAGATGAAACGCTACAGCAATCGATGAAGAGAAGGCAAAAAAATCTTTAATTAAGTGATTATGAGATTTTTTCTGCTCATGTTGAAGACATGAAAATATTTTCGATATGCTGGCATCATTCGAGAATGTCAAATGAATGTAATGAAACTTGAAAGTCGACAATATTCCCAATAATATCAAGTCAAGAAGTAGCATCAGGATGGGAATAATGCAAGCCTCTCGTATATGTTTAAAATGACATGCAAATCAATTTGATGGCATACAAATAGTCATTTTCCATCTCTTCGGGGCGACATTCTCAATTGACTTGCCTATATATGTGTACACATTATGTGTATATGCGATATTGCCACACATCGATAATGTCTGCTAATAAAAAAGGCATTAACTGAACATCATTGTTTTGTATCTCTCTTTCCCTCTTCTTCTTCTTCTTTTCCTTATTGACTCTGTTATGTTTTTTTGTGCTCACATGATATGAGCATAAATTCAATAATGCGAAACACAAAATTATGTGAATAAAAGGAGAATAAAACAAAACTGGGTGCTGCTGCTGTAACATAGAAAGAATGCAAAAGATCATTGAAGACAAGCGTAGATATACGTGCAACATGTTGGCAAAAAAAAAAGAGTGTTAAGAATTAAAGAATTGAGTGTGACAACAAAATCAATTGACCACGATTTTAATTCCTTTTTAATTGCCATCTCGAGCTATTGTTCGAGTGACGGTGTGAGAAATGTCGCGGACAGTAGATATATTGAGTATTGAAATTGATAGTTGATGGGTGGAAATTTGGTGACGCATTTGAAGGGTTTTGAGGGTCTTAGAGGGTCAATCACTCAAATTGTTCCTATAAATCGATGCAACTTTAGGACACCTCATTTACAGGTCATTTAATTTAGGACACAAAATCATGAATTTGTGAATTTATGAATTTATACGGATGACGAATCTCCTGGTTTCTTTGAGAGGCGAGTGCTGAGAACGATTTATGGCCCTATAAAAGATGGCGAGGAATACAAAAGTCGGGATAGTGAGAAATTATATGAGCTGTGCAAGGAGGCTGATATAGTGCATGTAAACAGACGCTCAGAAGGCTCATCAGTGCTGAAAGTAACAGCAGTTGAATTTTTGGATGTTAAAAGATCTCGAGAATAGGCTGAAGAACGCATGGAATGGCTGTGTAAGCAGCTATGCAAATGTGCTAGAAATTAGAAACCGGCAGAAGTTATGTAAGGATATAGCCAGTTGTAGACGAACTCTGAATGCGGCAATGGGCCCACGTGCGCGTTAGTAATAGAAGTAAGTAAGTATTATGAATTTATCTCAACATACTTCACAAAACCTACCCAGTTCATCCTGAAAATAAACAAAATTATCTGAAAAATAAGCAAGCAACTTTCACAAACCATAAAACCCGTTGTACAAAGTGTGACTTCCATCACACATCTTTCAATCCACGTGAGGAAACGCACCTAAAAGAGTAGCAGCAGCATCATGAGATTGCATATTATTATTCACACACTACGAGCTATGCTGTTTATAAGTAGCAGAAAAAGAAAAAAAAAAGATCTGAAAAATATGTGTAATGTTGATGTGTCACAATAGGAAGCATCATGAACGCAATTTTTATTTTTTTTATGTTAAACGATTTCTTTTATCATTTTCTTCTTGTTGTTCACATTTTTATTATTAATATTTTAATAATATTACAATAAATTAATAAATCGATTCAATAAATTACATAAAATTAATTTGAATTTATACTAATCATGAATTTATGCATTTTATGTATGTAGTTGCCTGTGGTATTCGTTTTGCTTATTGTAGTTGAAGTGTCTGGATTGTTATTTATCGTAATGTAAGTAGTATTAATTGGGATTGCCTTGTGGGAAACTTCTGTCAGAGATTTTTTTAAGGTTAGAGAAATTTTTCGTGAATGCATCTATGGGTTATGCTTTACTGATGTTTTACTGACGATGTTGAGTCAGAATCATGTTCAAGATCATCATTAAGGTTGGATTTCAAAAGATTTTTTACAAAGTTTTAGTTCAAGCTCTTCAAACATGCTTTATTGAGAATTTTGAGGTTAGGTTCTCTATAATCATTATCCTTGTGTAATCTCAAGATGCCATAGTAGCTAGGGTAGCTTGTAATAACCCAAGATAGGCCTTTTAGTTAAATTATCGCATAAATAGTGCCCGAATAGCACAAGTCGGTTAATTGAATAGAAATCCGGAATACAGTCGGCATTAATCTGGAAAAGTGCTAGCTTCGATTTAAATCCAGCACCATGCCAGAATTACACTGGCTTGTGCCGAATTCCTGATCGATTAACCGACTTGTGCCAATCGGGGTGACCAACTTCTATGAGATCATACCTAAATCTATTCTCCTATCAATCTCTGGCAGAAACCTCACAAGGATCTCAATTAGATAATCATTATAAATCTGTAAAATTGTGTGTGTAAAAATGTTCTTAATATGCAAGTTATGAACGTCCTAAATATGCTATTTTCTTAATATTTCAATAGAAACATTTCTTTACTTTCTCTTCTATGCTGTTTTTTTCGTTAATATTTAGATTAATTTTCTTAATAAAATCCACTATAAGTAGTACAAGATGGGAGAAAGAGAAAGACATGTGATAAATGCTTATCAAAATTCATTTCATTTTCTACTTAATTCAATAATTTTTTTCTTCTTTTCAATTTTTTTATGTATTGAGAGATTATCAATTTCCATTAATTTTATTATTTATTTTTTCGCTTTAAATCCAAAACATTTCCAGAGAGCAAAAAGATTCGATTCAATTGAGTTCACTTTCATTAAATTTATTTTCTGTATGAATGTAAAAAAAATTCTTTCATGTTTCGAACTGCGTGGGAAATAAGTAGATCTGTGAATCAAATGAGACAAGTAAGGCAAGAGCTCAGTGGTGTAGCAAGGGGGACTGAGGAAGTGGTATCAAGTAGGAGTGTAGATTATGCAGTCATAGCTACTTTGAAGTGGAGTCTATACTATTTCAACATCTCACTAGCTATATTGCACTTCTAACTTTAGTACAATTCTAGCTATAGTACAACCTTAGCTGTCGTACACCTTAGCTATGGAACATCCCTAGTTAAAGTACATAAAAAGCTAAATAACACTTCCAGCATCAAACGACGAAGCTAAAATTGCAATTTTAAACTGTCATCCCAGACCTTCCTGCTCCACCACTGCAAGAGAATTTGAGAGAAAAATTGATTGAGTGAAAAAATTTCATCAACAAACTCTCAAAAATTGAAATGAGTTTTTTTGTCAATTGAGTGGAAAATGATGTTTGATTGCTTGATGACAAGTTTACGTCAGTGCACACCAACTTTTTAATGCTGACGAAAGAAGAATTAATAAGCCATGATGACTTTTGGCATTTGCGGAGTTTTAATGGAATTTTTTTGAGCTTTATAAGATTTTTTTTTGTGGGTGATGATGTTGTCTGGGAATTTTTAATAGAGTCTTGGCTATGGATGGTGCCAAATGTTATGAATCTTTTCCTAAAAGCTGCCAAAAAGTCTACAAACTCGGTTTGAGTGTCTTCGAAAGTTTCCTGAGTGCAACCAAACTTCTAGAGTAATTTTTTAAGAATCCCAAAACTTCTTCCTTTTCATTCAAGCTAGCCACATTCATTGTGCATAGAATATTATTATTATGTATGTTGAAAAATCTTCGTTGGTCGATGAACTATGAAATTTTCTGTTTTTGGCAATTCTTCAATTCCACATCTTTTTTTTGAAGCAATCAATTTCATTTCTTAGTTTTTGTTTTGTTATAAAAATTTGAGGTTAATTCTATTGCTGTGAAGGTTCCTACATAACAATTGATAATTTTCAATACGTCTTTAATTGGGAATATAAAATTGTTTCATAACTTTTTTAAGCTGTACTGCTCGAAATAAATAAACTTTGCTTTTCACAGGAGACACTAGGCATCAATGTCGAGTTAATAATTAGACTTACGGTCGATTCCTGACTAATTTTAGGGAACAATCTAAACAAAATGTCATTCATCGATCAAATATTAAGTTATTAGCTAACCCGAGTGGCACAAGTTGGTTAATCGATCAGTAATCCGGGAACAAGCCTGTGTGACTCTAGCATGGTGCTGGATTTAAACAGCACGATGCCAGATTCATTCCGGCTTGGCGCAAGATTTCTATTCGATTAACCGACTTGTGCTATTCGGGTAAATAATGTCTTGTGTCTACTAAGGTTGTATTCTGGATATCTACTTTAACATGAGAGGCAGCAAATACAACAGCTTGTCCAAAAATTATCATATTTGGTTTAACTATTGTATCCACAATTGCCTGTTCAAGTAACCATCAAATGATTATTTTAACTAAGGATTCATCAATTTTGACTAGTTCGAAAATCTATTTTTAAGAATCATTTGATAATTTCTTTAGATATGAACTGCAACTAGATTTATTAATAGTTTTAGCAGTTTTTAATTTTTCAATTACGCACAATTTTATATGCTGTCATATTTGTGATTAAGTCCATTTATATTAACTTGGTGTTAATGGTCTATTTTGATGTTTTAAAAAGAATTGAAAATTTTGTGTCACTTAACAAATTCCAATTTAGCTACCAATAAATATTTAGGAAGAGCTATCATCCAGAAGTTATAGGATTTTGAAATAAATAAAATTGACTTTTTAAGCTGCAAAATAAATTTGGAAATTTTTTTCTAAAGATTTTTTTTTTCGTTAATTTTCAATCCCATTTAAATTTTAATTGATGTACTTCCAAATTGAAGCACTAAAGTCAACTCGCTATGGAAGTGTTTCTTAATATTTTTTTTTGGATTATTGCCTTAAAACTTGTTTATCATATGCTGCACGTTTTAAATCTTTAAACATCAATTGTCTGCTGCTTCAACTTTTCTTGCATTTGCGCAAGCATTTCCTGCATTCGTCGAATCTCTTCCTCCTTCTGTAGTAATAACTTATCTGTTTCGGTAACAACTGGAATGACAATTTCACCGGTTGGTGTTTTAATTGAATCACTTCGTACTTTTCCTGATTTGGCGTTATGTTGAATTTGTGAAATGCATTGAGCTCGGAAATTTTCATAATGTACATCCTGTGTTGTATCACACAAGTCTTGCATATGTGTTGCAATCAACATCGTACGTAGTTTTATAAAATCACTATGATTTGGATTCTCAACATCAACAATACCCCATGGATATTGTCGTCCTCGTATCTTCTTACCACCAACTTCAAATATTGAATTTGAACCAATTACAGCAAATGGAACGCTCTGCTTCAATTCCTCATCTTGTCGCTTAAAGTCATCATCTTCATCGGAATCGCATTCGGGAAATTTGTATAGTTGAATTCCATTTGCTTCAACATCACGTATGATGTTTGCCTTTAACCTCTTCACTTCACTCGTTGTCAATGTGTCAGCTTTTGTTATCACGATTACAATATTAACTTTTTTGTGTAAGCGACGCATCACATCTATATCCATTTGACGTAAACTACTCATGAATTTATTAAAATAAACGTACATGGAAAGAGATAAGAGAAAATAAGATGAGATATCATTAATAATGAGTAATAGAAAATAAAGTATTAATGTGGAGCTGGCTGAGGAGGTTGCTGTGACTGGGAACTATTTAGAAATGACTTTGATTAAAAAATTAATTTTTGTACCCTTGTCACCATTGGATTTCCTATTTTTTTTGTCTCGAGTCCTTATTTATGGAGTGATGCTTAGTTGTAATTGCAGTTTGATTGACATCGTCTGTTTTAAAGCCTAGCAGTCACCTAATAGGATCCCAGGGGTTAGGCTTTAACGGTTCAAGCTTATAAAATAGCTTTGGATACCTTTGGATACTTCGTGGTTATTCGTAAGACTGTCATTATGGATCTTTTCCTTTAGAACACGAAGTTTATTAAACAACCGACCCCTGAAGTTCTGTAATCACTGTAAAAACTTAAATATCGGTTATATTGGCTCAACAGACGTCATTAATGAACAACTCCTAATAGCCAATAAGCTTTCACAAATCTCCTCAATAAGCTCACACAAAACAAAAAATAATAAACACAAGATACGATAATCAACTAACTAGGTAAGTTACTAACCTGTGTCCCCATGGTGGCACCGCATATAGACAGCAATGAACACGATTATCTTGAATATTTTTGCGATTTAAGCCACTCTCATCCATGAAATATTGACGAAATTGTTCATCGATGTAATCGACAACCACACGCCAACTCTCATCGCAATTAACTGCATCACCAAAGCCTGGCGTATCGATAACATTTAAACGCAATCGAACACTCTTCTCCTCAATATCCAGCGTCTTCTTCTCAATTCTTGTTGTCTTTTCGAGTCGCTCAGCGACAGGTGGTACTTGACGATTCTTGTAGAGATCGGTCAAAAAGAGACTGTTAATGAGTGTCGATTTACCCAAGCCCGATTCACCGACGACCATCAATGTGAATTCAAAGCCGCGCTTCACTGATTTTCGATGATACTGTAATGGAAGTGACCCGAAGCCAATGTAATCACGATCGCGATCTATAAAAGAATGAGAAATGCAATACAATGCTATGAGAGAGAGTAGAATGAAGGGAAAAAAAAGATGAAATGTACATTGGACATAAAGCCAATTGAAAAATGAAGAAAAAGAAATGTTATAGAGATCGAGAGAAAATATGTTATTGTGAAGAATGCGGAAAATTGTGTGCACATAGCCACAATAATAATGATAATAATATTAATGTTGCACATTCTCGTAATGTTATTCATATAATTTTCTATGTCACTTCTGTCATTTGTGTGAATTTGAATGATAATCTTTTGCCAATATAAATGAGTGGGAAGAAGGAACTAAGTTTTGAAATTTGGTTGTTGTATGTGATTGATTAAAGACCGATTTAAAGATAATCAAATCTTTGTAGACATGCAATACAGATAGCCAAAGTGAGATAAGTAACTCATTAGCCGAGATCTCTGATCGAGTGGTCAGAGATCGCCTCTTTTGAGGTCGTGGGTTCGATTCCCATCGAACCCGACTTGTTTTACATTAGTATACACATATGACAGTTATAGGGAAATCTACAATCTTGTCCTATGTCATTAGCTCATCCCTCAAAATAATGTTAATACAAGTCAAGTATTTAGGGTAATGCATCCCTTAACTGACCTTATAACAAGGCGTTGCCAATGAATTTTCATTGCAAAAATTCCAAAAATCTCAACTATTCCTAATTCATTAGAAATTCTAAGGTTTTATAACTTAGAAAAGTTCTCAATACTTTTAGGGGCCATTCACTTATTACGTTACGCAAAAAACGACTTTTTTCACTCCCCTCCCCATCTTGTTACAATATGTTACAACTCACAACCCCCCCCCCCCCCCCCTCCTGAACGTTCATTTTTGTATAAACAAATTTTTTTCGAAAACTTTTTTTAAAAGACAGACGACAGTTGGAATGTTACATACTTCTTACATAGACCCCCCTCCTATGTTACATTTTGTTACAATTTTTAAAACCCACCCCCCCTCCCCCCTAAAATGCGAACGTAATAAGTGAACGGCCCCTTAACAATGATGTTAAATACATTTCACTATCGAAACCGAAGACCAGAGCTCGAAGTTGACTCGAGTTGACTCGAGTTGACTCGAGTTGACTCGAGTTGACTCGAAAAAATTAATTCAACTCGAGTCGACTCGAACCCTATCGCCTTCGAGCTCTGCCGAAGACCATATATGTACCTACAATCATTTGAATGTATTTTATCATCATCATTTTCCTTCATAACGTAGAAATTATTTTTGTTACACATTCATTTAATTTTCATCGTCATACATGACTAGATAACTACTCTAGTCCACAGAGAATGTTGCAGTAATAAAAAAGGAGGTGTATGTAATACAAAACAACGAAAAAAAAAGAAGAAGTAGAAAAAATTAAATGTGTAATGTGAGATAATAGTGTTATGGAATGGAAACAATTTTTCTTATTGAGAAGTAATAAAAAAAAAATAAAATTTTCTCTATTGACCGTTTTAGGTTTTGGTTTCTTCTTCTTACTCAGCCTGTACATATTTGTGCGTCTTGGTCTAAAGTCGTCGTCTATATTGGGACAATTAGCTTAACACGCATACCATTCTTTACCATTTAATGTACCTCTCGTATGTGCGCGATCAAGATAAATTGTTTTGTTCCAAATGCAGTGAAATTGAATAATTTGTCGATTCAATATTCAAAGCAACACTTCACCAATTGTGTATTGGATTTACTGAGCTCCTTTACTTTATTTAGATACCTCAATAAATCGATCGTTTTTCTTGTGTTTAAGCTCTTCTTCATTCCAACATATTTTTTTGCTACTGAGCATTTTTCCTTTCTATTCAATTTTTTTATTACAAATTTCTTAAGAAATCGTGAAGATGTTGATGATGGTGACGATGAGATTAAAAGAATGAAATGGAGAAGAATGGAAATTTTTGGCTCGTGAAATGAATTTCTTTGGATATTGTGCTCTTTTAGAAAATATGTTCATGATAAGATTCAATGCGATTTCTCTTTGGGGACTGTTTGTAAGTGATATCTACTACAAAAGTAAGAGGAGAGTACAGGCGTGTAGCCAGGAGGGTCTTGTCCCCCTCTTTAACGTTTTAGGCCGTGTTCTCACTGAGGTTCAAAACATTTAGGGGGGGGGGGGACAAGACCCTTCTGGCTACGTGCCTGGGAGGGTAACTCGACCAAGATGTCTTATATAATTTGTGTCCAAACTAGCAAATAACAAGCTCTAAATCTCAAAAAAAAAGACAAACTTGTATTTGGCATCTCAGCATCAAGAGCAATTTAAGATTCCATTCACATCATTTGTGTACGAACCCATCGCATACTATCGACCATATAAATTGAATGTCTAGAACAGCATGAGCATTTAAAAATAAGAATTAACATCAAGTATTTATGTCATTCGCCGAAAATTGCAATAGCTTCATTGAAACTTAACATTGTGTTCTTTCGGTATCAAACATTTCTATTGTTAAAGTTCTTATGGTATTGTCGATCTATTTCCCATTAAATTTCCATTCAATTTAGTTAGAATTGTTCTATATAATACTATGCCTGCATACTAATTACCACTAATTCCATAAAATAGCATCAAATAGTTAATTACTAGGAAACATAATCGACCGGAATTAAGTTGAATTTAATTATGTGTACTCAAGTGATTTCTGTTGCATTTTGTAATTTGTTGTTGGATGTGATTGTGTTGCTTACGGTTTTACTTGAAGGATTTATTGGAACTACTTGAATAAATGTCATAAAACCTGTCCATTCAAGTGAATCCAGTGTTGACACATTAGGAGGATTTGAAGGAAAATTTTGGGTGGGAAGGAGAAGGGTCTGTAGACACTCCAACAATAGAATCAGAGCTATGGGAATCGAACCACTGCTTCCTTTCAAATCTACTAAACTACTCATAACAATCTCCTAAAACCCTGAAAATTAATGTACCTTAAATCACATGTCGGCAACAATAACACCTCAATTATACCAATGACCAGCTGCATGTAAACAGTTTCAAGTTACAGATGGTAATAACTTTTCTGATGTTTCAATTATTCTTGTTATAGGTCTATAAATAAGCTACATAAAATTATTCAATTCAATTTTAATGTCACGATGATGTAAATCACAATAATAAATTCACAATGAAATCAAAATGCCGAATCCAACCTTCAATCATCCGTTTATTTATAAAAGCTCAATGAAATGAGCAAACACAAAACCAATGATATTTAAGAATCTCTTTTAGGATCAACATCACTCAATAGCTTTGAGCAGAAAATAGAAATTTTTGAATAATTTTGAAAACCTCCCCAAAATTTTCTATGCCTGAAAGGAAGCAACAACTCAAAAACTGATGCCGATTAAATGTTTATTTTCATCTTTCATCTTCAGTTATTGATACCGAATTTGTAATAATATTGATATTAGAATATCAATGTCTAAAAATAAAGCATAATCTTATTTATGATGGCTGGCTTCTTATTTACTGTATCTGAAGATGTTTTGCCCTTTAGCATGCTATTTATGTAAAATTTATGGATATTCGATTTCTTGTGTTTTCGTTGTTAAACTTGTGGTGTCGAAGCAATGTGAAAATTGAGATGTCATGTTATATCTAAAGTAAATCTGTTGCTACTAAAAACGGTCTTAATTGCCAAGTTGTTACACAGCAAACAGTTGACCTGCTTTTAAAGGAGAGAGGATTATGTTTGATTTTCATCAAATGACAATTTCTAAGTCTTCCAAATATTGTTGTTAAAATAACAGTGATTTATCCCAATGGTATGCATTAAAGAGTTCGACAGACGCAGTTTTTAAGGTTTCAAAAAATGTTTTTGCCACTGACTCTATCTACAACATAACAAAACTGAAGAATAAATTCGCTAAAAATCATATTATTTAATAAGACTTGAAGCAAACATTTAAGCTGCTTTGGAAATTTTCTATTCTCTTGAATTCAGAAAGAAAACTAAAAGATGAGTGGAAAAATTTGAAATATCGTAAATCCATTAATTAATTAATTAATAGCTTACAAGATAAGACTCATTGATTGATGATTCTAATTAGGGGCAGTTCAGTTATGACGTCCGGAGGGGGGGAGGTCAGCAGAAAAAGAACAAAAGAAATCCCTAGAAATTCATTATTCTTTATTGAAAAATGACCGTTAATTTTGGACGTCATAAGTAAACGACCCCTTAAGCATTTTGTAAGAAATATGGAAATATAAAATACGATATTTTGTAAATGTAAGACATGATGCAAATATAACTAGATTCTAAAGTAATTTGCAGAATGCAGATTATGCGAAAATCAACAGCGTTTGTTGCTGCAAATGAGATATTTTTTTTCATTGATAGATTAAATTAGAAAATTGTCTAATTAAGTATAGACTCTGGACACAATTGGAACTTTTACGAAAAAGCCTTTGCTTAACTGAAATAAAATAAAACTAATTTAAGTTGTTAAGAATCAATTGAAAGCTAAGTTTAGAACCGTTGAGAGTCAGAAAAATTAGATAAAGGCTTGAGAATCGTTTAAAAAATAACAGAAATGAAGGACCTGCAAAATAGTCAACATTCTGAAAATTTCTGAATTCAAGAAACTTTGAGTATCTTCTATAGAAATTTAATATCAACACCCTTAAAATGATTTGTCCTTCAACTTTATTTTTAAAATAAGACAACCCTTCAAAATATCAATGAAAAGTTTATATTATTAAATTTTTGATTCATATGAATCATATCTAAGTCTGTACTTTCTACCTCAATCATAAAATAATTCATGTGCAAGTTAATAATTTTTGGGTTATGAAAAAGGACTAAATTATTGATAAAATATTTATGATTCCTTCTATTAATACACTTTCTAAAAGTTTGAGGAAGGCACCTGTTACTAACTTATGCGAGTGTCTTATGAACTCCTCTATTAATACTTTTCCTCTAAGATCCAATTACAAGATCGACTTTTAATCCTGTTAATCTCATAATATGGATCAGTTCTAAATCAGCTTAAATCATGTCCACGTGCCATATCAATTGCCTAATAACCAAGAGTGTGGTACTGATGAAATGATCAAAAATGATCAAAATTGATCAAAAATGATTAAAAATGATCAAAATGTAATTCTTCAGTTCCACACCCTTGCTGATAACTTGACAATAATATCCTCAAAAAGTCTATTAATATATTAATCTACAAAAATAACATAAAGTCAATTTCATTATTGAAAAATAAGCCACAATTAGAATTATTGACTGTCAAATAATAAAAATTTGACAAATGAATTCAGAATATCCAATAATATGCATTGCGTGTAATGACAGTTCTCAAATAGTATTGAATGTCATGAGAACAATCGATTATAGAGTCAACAGGCTATTAGAGTGCCATAAATATTCGAATAAACATAAAAATGTTTTGCCTTCAGGGGTGTTTAAATTGGATTTTGTCATGCTGATATAGAAAATTGGAGAGATTTTGGGTTGCACGTGTTGTTGCTGGAACGTCAATTGAATGTGTGGAGCATGTTGGATATGATGTGCACATGCAATAAATTGGATTTTCCAGCTGACTTTGCAATTTTATTTTTAAGGATGAAATGTGCAATTTTAGGTAATCAATAATGGATTGACAGTTTTTGAGCGTTATGCAATTGAGTGGATTTATTTGGCAAACATAAACTCTATGTACAGCTTCATTCACAACTGTAGATACGAAGCTACAATCACAAACAAAGCAATTATACCAATAAGTGTGACAAACCCCTGAATCGTCAGATTAATGAACTTTTTATGACTTTGGAGGTATGACAGCAAGATAACGCAGATAATGACACAAATACATATTTTTTGATAATTCTACATGTATACAACATTAATACGTGATAGAATTTATTATCACTTGACAATCCCATTGTGATTTTTTTCGAGTATTCACAGCTGTGTATGAATATTCTGACATGTTATTGTTTACACAATGATAGGTGAACGTGAAAGTGTGTAGAAATTGATAAGTCAGTGGACATTTCGTTGGAAATAATGAATTAATTGTTCCATTTTTTTTTACAACACAAATATTGTAAAAGTTATTTTTGGTTGTGACACATTTCTTTCACCTACAATTGTTTACATGCTGTTGTCAGGTGGCATGTTATCTTGAGCGTGGATTTTGTTGAATAAGAAATTATGCTTGTGAGTTGCATAAAGCAGTGTAGGAAGGAATTGTTTGACAAATGAAACAAGAGCGAATTTCAAGGTTTCTTTTTGTGTAGATTGTGACGTAATGTGCTTGTTACCTGCGAGGTAAATGATTTGATTTTGTTGAACAGTTGGTTTTGGGTTGTAAGCTAATGCTCGATGATTTTATGCAATTTTTTTCAGTGTTGTTAACTTAACTTGAACAATTTAAAACTTTCAATGCAGTAACAACAGTTTCCTTAATCTAGACATTATTTGGTCATTAAAAATGTTCATAAGTAGACAGTGTAAAGACAAATTTGATAAGCATATTTACGGTTTTGGGGAAACCACGATATCAATTCAAAATGATGAATTTGCAATGAACATTTGCACAACCAGAGGAGCTTATGAACTTATTGGTTTAGAACTATTCAGTGTGGACACTTTTGTTGAATCACCAGGCTCGGAAACTAGGCAGTATACAGCCAAATACTCCCAACTTTCATATAAATACCCCCAAATACTCCTAAATAACGCTAAATTCCATACAAATACCCCCAAATACCACCTCTTTTTATGAAATACCGATAAGTACCGCCTTTAAAATAAATAGATTGTAACAGTACCGAAAACTTAGATCATACTCTCGTATAGACTCACACCAACACGATTTTGTTAAACTAGCTAAGAATCTTGGATCTCAAAAAACACCGAAAAACTGATTCCTAGACTTAGATCGTCAGAAAAAGACATAGACTTGCCTTACACAGATTTTGTGAAGTCAAAACAAACATTCAGATAACAACGCTGATTCCCAGTTACTTCCAACAAGTTTCGAATTCATTTCTAATTCCAAAAATTCATTAACATTTAAGACAAATTAATTTATGCACATTCATTATTAACGGTCTTTTGCTACCCGAGTAAAACGCACTAAATCAACTTTCTGTTGATCACAATCTAATTTTGTCCATCTCTTCACATGAAAATATTCGTAATTAGAATGAAGAATCTATTCTCAAGTGACCATCCCAAGTGAAATAGAAACAAAATTTAACTGACATGAATATCTCTTCGCTTAAATGCTTTGCACGTGCTAGTTCACTAAGTCTTTTCTTCTGTCGTTTTTGTTACTTCCAAAAGTGAAACCTGTTTCCTCCAAAAAAACAAAAAATCTCTTGTTTCTATTTCTTTTCATAGCTACACATTTTGCTCTCAATTTACAGCCAAACAATTTGATTTAATTAAGACATTTTATAAGCGATCGAGCTCAATTGTGTAAATTATGAGCGAAGATTTCACAATAAAGATCAAGAATGCAGACCTAAAAAAATGCAACAGAATAGATTGTATCTAATGTGTTATTATGAAATCAAATTCACATGGCTTTCTTCATCTTAAAGCAGAGAGAATGAACTAAAAAGAGAATGGATTTTTTTTTGTGGCATGTGTGTGTGGGTGTAATATTGAGTAACATGTAAACTCATTATAGGCTTGTATTTGTAACACAAATCGTAGAAAAATTGAAATTAAAATTCTTTATGAAAACAATGTAAGACATTGCAGACATAAAATTCCAATTTTATGACAATGTACTTACCAGACATGCTTCAATTTTCCTTTCTCTTAATTAAATTTTTAATATATTTTAAGTGTTTTGATTTCGTTGCGCAGCACAAACTGAGGTGAAAAAGTCCACCCTTGACAAATTTATGATTGTCGATTTCCTTATAGAAATTTTTAACACACTTCTTCACTTATCCGATGACTTTTTGACTTGTCCGTAACTTTAAAACACTTTCACGCTAATTATCGTCCATTTACCGACCAAAATGAATTAAATTTCTCTATTTTTCTCGACTCTATCAATTTTAAATGTCGATTTTTGTACCGCGCGCGTTTGAATACATAGATAAGAAGGCCCTGTCTCTCACTGACTTGTTTTGACTGTGATACGCATGCCTAGTGTCGACTCATTTTTTTTCCTCTACGAATACAATTTCTCTGCTTTTTCACTTCGCTCTTTTCTGCTCTCTGTTTTATTTTATTTTTATTTTGGTTCCCCCCGAAAAAAATTTTGATACTGGTTTGATGATGGATTAGAGATGAATTAGCAGCGCATTTATTTTGGATGATTTGGAAATCATTAAGTGGATTTAGAATTGTTTATCGAAATGACACCGAGTTCTTGCCGGTAGCAACTGTTATCCCTCAATTTCGTGTATCAGTGGATGTCTAGCAACCAATTCAATACCGCATCTAGCACAAACAGTCAAAACATGAACAGTATCGCCCCTACAATTCAAAACATGCACTCTAAATGAAGTCTATGTACGAACATACACAAAAAAATTATGAACTGAACTGTTTTCTTTTTAATTTTTTTTTTCTCTGTCGGAAACGAAATAAAGCATAAGAAAAATAAAAGTGTAATTGACACAATTTAAACTTGTTATTGAGCTCTCTCGGTCTGTTCACTTAACTCATTCACTAATTTAAATATAAATTGAGATTTTACAAATGTTATGCTCTCTATTTTTTGGTATAAACTGAATTAGATTCAGTCTTCAAATGTATTTGTGGGCAAAAAAACATGTGACATGAGTGCATGCTGTGTGTGAGTCACGTTGTGTATGCAGTTCTAAGGAAAATCGATAGAATAAAGGAGGGTTGTGCTGTGTAAAACATAGGAACATTATGAATTTATGATGTAACATATGCATGCACCGGGACAGTTCTAAAGGGTGACACTCACACATACAAACACATGTCCTACCCCTAACAGTAGCACTGCTGTACTAAAAATATTGATTATGTATAATTTGTATGCTCTCCAAACCTTCGCTATATTGACTTCGCATTTTTAATGTAAATTTTCTTGTGTAGCTTTTTTCGGCTATTGTTTACATTTCACTATCCAGGTGTTGCCCATGACATTATTGACTGTCAACAAAATGATTATCGTCGTGATGATATTTCTTATTATTTCATTATACATACGTGGAATGGTTAGAATGTTTAAATATATTAGGACGTATTATGGACATGTGTGAAGTTCAAGACGTGTGTGGAAGGTCAGTTTGTCTTGGAATGAATAAATGTCACTGGAAGTTGGATTTTTTAAATAAAATTGTTGAACCTTGATGCTTCTAAGGGGTTGTTTAAATATTAAATTGAGTTGATGGGTGAAAAAAGGCTGTCAATTATCTTTTGGCTCCAAAGTAAGATGTTTCTTGATCTGTCAAAAAAAGGATAGCCTAGTGACTTGATTGTTCTTAAAATTTTGAATCTAAATTCACTTTAAATGCGTCTCATTCACTTCATTTAATGAACCTCAAATATCACTTCGCATCTTATTATTTGATGATTTTTTTCTCGTCTTCTGTTCAAACATTTGCCGTAAATTAGTTGTACATTCGATTCACACGAAATTTAAGAAGATTCTGTCATTTGTGGTAATTATCGCTCACATTCTTTATCTTCAATTTACACAAATTTTTTTGTGTTTTTTCGTTCATTCTTTTTTTTTTGTTGACTCTTGCCATAAGCGTGTGGATTGTTAGAGCACATTAAAGCTCAGATTTCCCCAAACGGCTGTATGACAATGTTTAAAATGTCAATAGTAATATGTTTGGAGATTTGTTTAAGAAAATCAAACCAAGTTGAGAATTTAAATGAGATACAAGACTTTCCGTGTTGATGTGTAAATATTTCACTTGAATGAGACCAGTGTTGCATTCTGGCTATTTGTCTGGATCAGATAAATTCTGAGACAGAAATTTCTTCATAAAATCGATTCTACATGTAGAAAGAAAAAAACCATCTACATGTAGATTGTGTCTACATGTAGAATCTGTCTACATGTAGATTTAATGTAGATGTCTACGATTCTACATTCTTCTCTGATGTAGACCTGGAAAAAATGTAGAATTATAGACATCTACATCGAATCTACATGTAGACAGATTCTACATGTAGACACAATCTACATGTAGATGGTTTTTTTCTTTCTACATGTAGAATCGATCTTTACGAAGAAAGTTTCTTAGCTAGACAAAAACTATTGAAGAATCTACATTCTTCATCTAGTGTAGACATCTACATTTGCAACACTGAATGAGACATTTTGTGGAGTAACGTGGAAATAATTCAGACCACACTTTATGGCTTTTCGTGGAAGTTGATTGGATGAAAAGTGATTTAAATAAGCACCGATCAGTATTGATTTTTTGTTGGAGTTTTGTTGGTTGTTTTAGTTCCGGGAATGTTCTTGTAATCATGCTGATACATACTTGCATAGCTATTGTGTGGCTTTTGAGAAAATAAGGATCTCATTGCTGTTTGTAAGTTCAGATTTTGATAATTTTAATCAGTCCACATTCTTGAACGTGACAAAGTCTTCAACCTCGAGCTATACGTACAAACCATAAACTGTTGGTCTAGAACTGAAAACTAGCAAGATATCAAACTCACAAGGTACCTAAAGTTCTGGAATATTGTTTGTTCCATCGAAAATGTCATGTTGTGAATACATCTTTTACAGTTCATACATAAATTCAAATGCATGACTAAGTTTGACTACAGAACTATCATAAATATTTTAATCAATATGCAGTTCTGATACCTTTCCAAATGTACATTAGAATTACAAATTCGTATACAAGTCTAAGCAAATATCGAATGAATACCAAAATAGATGCAGCTGAAATAATTCGATATTTTTGTTTGAAGAGTAAATTCAATACATCTAATAATTGCCAAATAGAGCATATAGCTTACGCTATTTCAGGCAGATTGACCCAGTACAATGACCTTTTTGCCTCGAGGTGGATGGACACGTAATTACTAGAACACTTTTATAAAGCAGCAATAATTGAAGGTAAGCGTAGGAAAATTAGCAATTGAAATTATTTTATTTCCTCGTAGCTACTTTATTACTTACCGTCATGAAAACTTTCACGTTCATAGGCAAGCCTTCTTAATTCCCTTCTGAAAAATTGAAAAAAAATTTGTATCTGCTACTGTCACTAAAGCACATTTTTTATGGAAAGCAGCATGAATGTCTGAAAAATATGAACTCAATAAAACAAGAAAATTGTTATTTGTTTAAATTGACTCAATTATTTGACTCATAAAGTTTTTTTGTTCCATTTTTATTTTCCTCATTTTTTCATGCAATTCAAGAATAAAATTAAAAATAGAATCAAATTTCTAACAAACAGTTAAATCTCTCTTCATTTCCATCTTCGAAATATTTGTTCAAAAATCTAAACTCTTTTTTTTGTGTGATTTCTTACTTAATTAATGTTAATAATTCATTTTTTTAGTCACTAATCTCTAAATAAGTTTCAAATGGGGTTGGTTTATTGGGATGCATCTAGTTTTATTCTTATTTCTGCTGTTGGATGCTTACATCATAGCTTATGTGTATGTTGAATAAGAGTTTACCATTTAGTATCCTAGATTAAATCTAGGGTATAGCTTTCAACAAGGAACACCATCTAATGCAGTGTTGTCCAAACTTTTTTAAGCCACGGCATCCCTGTGGGGTAAGCCATGACCAAAGTCCCACATAACATACGGCTCGCGTCATTTCCAAAAATTTCAACTGCACACCAGTATGCCGCGGCACACAGTTTAAACAACACTGTTCTAAAGTAGCCTTTAAATATGAAACTGCTATGCACACCTTAAAGTTATAGCCCAAGGCTAACCCTAAGATACTCACAAGACAACTCTTTGATACATCATCAAGCTATTTCAAGGAAAAAGCTAGAGAATAGCTTTCAATAAGCATAACAAGCCATACATTCCAACAAACTTACCCCTTGGAAGATGCAAAAGAATTAGCATCGAAATGTGTGCAATATTTCTCTTTTTTTATTATTCAGTATTTCTGTTTAAATATTTGCTCATTATTCCATTGTGATTTATTCTCTTCTATTTGTATAATTGATTATTTCATTCTCAAGATCCTTTTGTGACCTCGACTAGTGCTTTTCTGTTTCGTCATTCATTATGTTCTTTATAGAATCACTGCCAATTTCAATTTTCATTTTCTTTTGTGTATTGTCTCTTGAGGAAATATTTAATTTTTCCATGACTTACATTTTAATGTGGATTAGTATCTGAAAAAGTTGGATAGACATTTTAGGATCAAATTCAGAACGCTGCTCTTTAATTTTCTTCTTTAAAGTAACTTGATCTAGTTTTAAAGACTTTGGTTCTTATTTTTCGATAATTTTAACCTTTTGACAGCCACCTGCTACATTAAAAGCTTTACATCGTTGCAAAAAAGTTTCTTATTGAACGCAAGCTTTAAATTTTTGCGAGATATGAACAAGAAAAAAATTCAACAAATTATGATAAAAAGTTTTGAAGAAAAGTTTAATTCATTATATCATTAAGAAGAATCTTGCTGTCATATTCTACAGCTTCTACAGTGTCACATTCTCTTCTTCTTTCTCTTATGAAAAGACTTTTGCCATCTTGTGGATCTTTAAAACTTTAATGTTTGATGCAAACTTTCCATCTTTATTAAGTTATTTAATAAAAAGTTTTCAAGTTAATAGATTTTAGGGATATTAAAGTTTGATGCTAAGTTTTAGATCCTTTTGGTTAGAGAATTTGAATTCTTGATGACTGTTACTTGCTAATCCCTTAATTAAACTGAATATAAGATGTCTTAAAGTTTCATTAAATTAAAAAGTAACTCCAACATCTATATTAACTATAAATGGATTATATTTAAAGAAGTTGTCTATCCAATTATCTCAGAAAAACAATCAAGAAGTTTCATAAAATCTACCAATAATCTACCGCTTCAGACTTGTTAAATAGTTAAGAATATAAAACCAAAGCTTTAATTTTATTCCAACTATAATTTTCTAATCAATATCAACTACCTTTGTCTCAATTGCTTTCACACTTTTGCTATTGATTGTACAGTCATACGTCGACTATAATAACACAAGAAATTCTATCTCAAATCAATGTAAGGACAATACAGAACACGCTCAAAAAATATAACCGAGTCGGACATGAAGAAAATAATGTTTGTCATTGATAAAAAAAAGGTCTGACATTTTTCACAGACTTTATTCGAGTTTGTCTAGTGAAAGCTTTTATTCTACATCAATATTTATTGTATTCTACAGCTCTATCTATTTCACGCTATATGGTTTTTTATCCCGTCACGTTAGAAAACTTTCAAGCTCTATTTATGAAGAATGATTAACACTCAAGGATTTGTGTGCTTCATAAACAGATGGAAATGGTATTTTCTTGAGTAAGAAAGTTTTCTCATATGATTGACTGTGGGATGTCTGTCCTTGTGAGGAATTTTGTGAGATTAGAATGAGTTGGCAAGATTATATGAAGTGATTTTTGAATGATTCGGAAACCTTTTGTTTTAATACACTTTCGGTCTTTAGTTTTAAGAATGTGGGTAGATTTTTACCTTCTTTTGTGAATAAGCAAGTTCTAGCCAGTGATAGATTGCTATTGAAACATCTAGAAGGAAGAAGCAAACTTTTAGATGACAAAATCACAGAAAATAGTATAACTCCGAATTACAGATCCCGAGCGGGACTCGAACCCACGCCCTGCGATTTCCGGTCGCTTGTTCCTACCACTGAGCTATCGGGGGCTAGTCGACTATATGGCTAAATCTCATAATATAAGTTACACTCTTTTTACTGTTCCCTTGCACCACATGATTTATCGTTGACTGGATATTACATGAATCGCATATTCCAACAATTGCTATTTACGGACGGCCTGAATAGATAATCCTGATGCTAAGTTCATTTATACCTCAGATTTCATCTGTTTCCAGAAACTTAATCAGAATCTCGACCTGAATTGACCTGCTAGAGCATGCAAGTATCTAGACAGCCCAAGACTGTAAAATTTTAAATCAGGGCTAGACAACATCTGAGTACAGTCTGATTTAAAAGCTCTAAAGCTTTAAAATTATTACATCAATTCTTGAAAATTCAATAAAATAATCTCAATTCAATAAATCTAGCAATATTTCCTATAAGGATTATTGGCAATAGCTTATTGCATCATAGTATCAAGTTACTATATGACTGTAGCAAGAATAACTTTTCTTTACACAACAAAAATTCATCGAAGCTTGGAATTGGAGATGAAAAGGAAGAAAGAAACTTTTTTCTACAGATGTGTTCATAGCAATAGTTTTGTCTTGAATGGTAAAGCTCAAGAATAAGAAAGCTTTTTATGTAATTTGTCTAAGAAAATCGGTGCCATTAACATTTCTGGCAAGACAAAAAAAAAATATTTATTGTGGATAGACGAAAAAAATTCTCTTGTCGCTATTTGTGTAATAAAATACTTGTCTGTGGCGAATGAATTAAGTACTTTAATGGAATTACCGTCTTAAGGGTAAGAAAAAGAAATAAGTTCAAGTGGAATGTCAACCGACGTCAAAATCACAATGGAATCATGAGGAAAATATGAATTGTTCTTGGGTGATGTAGAGATTTAAAACGGTAGGGAATGGTACATACTTGAGAGGATTTAGCCATTTAATTCTAGATTATGTGACTGTTGTCTTATGTCTGGCGGTAAATGACAAAGTTCAAGTCTCATAAAAGGGTATTATATTTTTAATCAGTCATCGTTTCTGACATTGAATTCTGATATTGTATTCATGGTGACGCTAAGACACCTAAAGCTTTAAACCTTTTACATTATGAGAATTGAAGCTTGGTTGTTCAAGCTACTTAAAGCTGCAATGACGGTAAAATTGCTTAGTTCACACTGTGGTATTGCTCTGTTTGTATGTTTTAGTCGAATTCAATATATCGATTATGAAGCCAGGAGGGTCTTGCCCCCCCTCCCCCTTAAACGTTTTGAACCGTAGCGAGAGCACGGTCTAGAATGCTTAAGAGTGGGACAAGACCCTCCTGGCTACGCGCCTGGTATGGACAGAGTAGCAATAATACTTCAGAAACTTACAATTTGATAGTCATTGCTGCTTAGGTGGATGAAGCTAATGTCTAATTTCCAAAGATATGTTGAATTCTGGTAAAAAGACATTCCAGACCTGCAGATCGAATCAGAATTTCAAAAATGAGTAGCTTCTTAATTGTCCAAGCAACGTGTACCATTGTCTACCATCAAAATAGTTCTAATCACTTTTTATTCAGCACAAGTTTTCTTATAAGAAACTTTTAGAATTGAAAACTTAGAAAGCTTGAGGTTTATTTTTAGGAATACTCAAAGAATTATGTGCTTTAAATAATTTACAAGCAGCATTAGTTAATCAACCCTTAAAATTCCAAAGTTTTCAAACCTAAACAAATGTGCTCCTTATTTCCATATTTTTAATTCTCCTATTAATCATCTAAATTGTCTCAACAGTTTTCAGTTAAAGTTTTTCATTTTGTTTGCATTAAAATTCTTAAAATATTCTAAATAGTCCATTTAGAAACAACAAACAGAAATTCCTAAGTTCATTTTGTTCTTTCAAAGACACACAAAAAGTTTTTCATTTGTTAAGGGAAATAATTATCATATTTTGTCGGGTGATTGGGTGTGTTTTTATGATGTTCTTGATGGCTGTTGTCTAGAAAATCAATTGTGTTATCGCTTTGAGGCTTTGTTATAGATTTTAGATATTGTCTTTATATTATAAGTGACCAAAGGTTTTTTGAGGTTATGTTGAATTGACGTCTTACTCAAAATGAGATTTTAGAATTCCTTAACCTCGATTTTTCATTACTTTTATATCAAGAATATTTAATGTCTTTTGTGATTATAGTGAGAACTTAAGTTAAGCATGCTTGACCCACTCCTGCCCTTAATTGTTCTATTTTGTGCAAATGCTCCGATTTTATGAGGAATCATTCATTAATTCATTGAGGACGATATTTGTAAATAACCTTAAAGGGTCATTCAATTATGACGTCCTACATTTAGGGGAGAGGGGGGTCAAAAAAATTGTGACACATTGTTACAGGGGAGGAAAGAGGGGGGTCTGGAAATTTGTGACATCCAATTTCTTAATCAAGAAATTATAATTTTTTGTGTCTTTGATTGGGCGTCACAAAACGAGGGGGGGGGGTTATTGACATCTCTGACAGTTTTGTGACAAAGGGGGGTTCTTTGGTTTTTGGATGGACGTCATGAGAGAACGGCTAAGTAGGATTTTAAAAGATATGTTCGAAATTCAAGACTTTATGAATAATGCCTTCCTAGAATTCACTTCAGCCTACACAACAATTAAATTATTTCAATTTACAATAAAAGTCGAAGGCCGAAAAGAAATTTTCCGAAAATAAAAATTATCCCCAAAGCGGATTTTCATCAAATTATCATCATCATCATTATCTTCTATTCATCATACTTCTTGCAATCCTATTCAATCATTATTTTCATAATCTTACGAATAATTAAAAAGTTTTAAACCCAAATCATCCCTAAGGGACATAAATAGAAGAAGTTAACTTCATAAAAACACACTCGATACCCTCAAAAACGTTCATTCTTATTACATTCCTCAAATGACTACACTTAATTCAAACAGAAATAAAAGTACAACAGTCAAAATGAAACAAAAACGTTAATTGGAATTGGAAAAAGAAAACTAAACTTTAGTTCTTCATTTTACCGTAAAACAGATGAAAAAACTTTTCAAACGACTTTATCAAATGAAATGCGCGACGGTTGTTTCGTAAAATTCTCACTGTAAAATCCATGTACACTTTGTGTACTCTCATCACTACTATGCGATGTTATTGTATTATTGTTGTCATGTGGAAAATTAAATACACTGCTGCCGTGTGGACGCCACGAGACTGGTGGAGGTGAACGTATCATATGCTCTTGAACGTCTGGAAGGAGAAATGGATCTGGCTCGAAACCACTATCGATTTGTGAATTCAAGTCCTGAATTAATATTGTATCATCGTCTACTAAATTATCTTCGATATCAATCATATTCATTTCGTCTCGACTTGCGAGCTTCTTTTGTAGGTATGGATTATCAGATCTAGATAGTCTCAATTGTTGCATATCTGCTTTAGTAATGGAAAAGAGAAAAGAGATCGAGACAATTAATGGATAAGTAAATATATCAGAAATGAATAAATAATGACAATAATGCTCAATACACACAGACTCGACAATAAAAATGTCAACAAAGAAGAATGACTAAAACGTAATTTCCTATCGATTGATTGACTTAACAAATCAATCAAAGTGAAATAATTCCTTTTAATTTAATTAAGCTATGTCGATGCGGTGTTGCTAAGTCGAAGGGTTTTACTAGCTTAGGTAAATGACATTTGTGGATGTTTTACTCGTAGGACTATCATACGATCAATAATATTAGGGAAGGTCCTTATTAGCTTATATAAGTTGTAATCTAGGAAAGCAATACCCAACTCTCACTACAGAACTCATTGAACAGAATAGCACAAGTCGGATAATCGATCAGAAATTCGGAACCAAGCTGGCGTTACTCTAGCATGGAGCTGGATTTAAACAGATTCCAGCACCATCCCAAATCCACACCGGCTTGAAGGGAGATTTTTAATCGATTAACCAACTTGTGCTATTCGGATGAGTTTGTCAATTGAACACTTAATCGTTCACTTATAACGTCCTATATTAACGGTCATTTTTCAAAAAAGAACAATGGATTTCTAGGAATTTCTATTGTTCTTTTCTGATACGTTCAATTCATGTTCGACAGACTTATCGAAAGTCTAGGGGTGTTTTAATATGCACGTTCGAAAAATCTAAATTTGAAAAATCGTTACAATTTTTGGTCACTTTATTCAATTTTTTGATAGGTTTTAAAACAGATTTAGCTATATTATGCTCATTATCAAATGATAAAATAATATTTTCAGCTAAAATTCATGAAAAAATTGCTTAATTTAAGTTTTTATTTTTTCCTAATTTTCGAAAATTTCGAACTGCAGGGTATGAAATTTCGAATTTTGCATGGCAGACAGACAAATAAGACATTTTTACAAGAGTTCTTGGAAACTGTAACGGTCGAAACTCTTGAATTGTTCGTATCAGGTTCTTTTGTTGCTGACCCCCCCCCCCCCCCCCCCTGGACATAATAAGTGAACGGCCCCTTTATAAAACCATTATTTTAGTCAAACTGAATGAATGTAAAGCACAATAACTCTTTTCGTCGAAACTCAATATAGACTATAAGTTAATTAATTAGTCTTTCAATTAGATAATATGTGTGTGTGTGCATATGACAAACATAAATAAGTAATCAACAATGACAATATCATACCATGGTCAATATCTCGACTTAATATCCTCCCGGGTGTTAAACTTAATGTTGATATAGAAGGCTGTCCGACAGGCAATGAACAGCTGTAACTGACCACTGAAAATAGAATGAAAAGAAGAAAAAAAATATTTAAGCCATAAAAAACAATGAAATGTCATTAATCGTCATGGGTTGTTATGGGGAGATATTTTTTTGAAGACTATAAAATCACTGCTGCTCATTCATTTAAATATTTTCTGACGTCATCAAAAACTGAAGGGAGAGAATGGGTAAAAATTTATTGGAAAAAAAGTGGCGGCAAAAAGTCATAAAAATTGATTTAATGCGGCACGCTGTCGGGATTTTTATGCTTTGAATTTAATTTATGATAGTGCAAAGTTCAACGGCTTTGTTGAGATTAGAAAATTTTGTTATGTAAGGAGATATTGTTGCACTATGGGGCAAAATTGAAAAAAAGCGGCAATTAAGGAAATTTTTGAACAGTTTTGAACTACGCTTTCAGGGTTATTTTTTCTTGTAGAGGACATCAAAATTGACTTCTGTGCCAAATTTCAGGTAATTTGATGCTGTTTTTACAATTCTGTGGCTGTTTGAAGTTGAAAATGAGTGAAAATTTTGATTTTTTCACGTCTTATTTAAACTGTCACATCTTTTTAATAGTTAAAGATATTAAGAAACGCTTTTCGGTTTCTAATAGTGTCATGTAAGAGCTTTGTTTTGATAATGTACAAAATTTGTAATTTTGTAGTTTTGGTACCAGTATGGGAAGAAATGTGTGAAAATTCTATGAAAAATATATTCAAGCATGCCGCAAAGATCTTAAATGGCCACTTTTCAGTCATTGTGTTTTAGTCTCTGTCTTCTGGTTTTCAAAAATGTATAAACATCAAAATTTGTTTGGTACTTTTTTGAGATAAATTGATTTAAATAAGTAGTAGAATAATTCAACAAAAAATAAAATATCTTATAAAAGTTACGAAACAACAACAAAAAATGAGTTTTGTGTTATTTTTCGATGACAAACAATGTTTAAAAACAAATTGCGAAGAAATTTTTTCAAAAACTTCAAAATCTGCCGATATATAGGGTACTTTTCATATCTGACGACTTGTATGGTTTTCGCATCACTCAAACTGCTTTTATTTTTGTGTACCTCAATATTTTTTAATTCTGTTTACAGTTTATTGTAGCTTAAGTCTAGACCTTTCTAAGGATATATAATACTTTGTAGTTTAGTATTATCTTGGTCATGAATTTAGGACTTGTTTGTGAACGACCCTAAACAACAAAAAATCTCAAAAACGTCATTTCTAGAAATATCACTTAGAAACAAAATTAGGTATTGTTTTTAGGTTTTTCATGATGACATATGATATTTATGACTATTAAAACTTAAAAAAGTGTCTTTCATAAACTTTTTGCGATCTCAGGTAGCCTGTTTAAGTTCGACCCTAGTAGTATCTAGTTGATCAATATTACTTCAGTATTAGACTAATTTGAAGATTTTTAATGATTTATATTTTATATTTTAACATAGTTGAGCCAAAATAAATAAGTTTTAAGTACTTTTGTTTGCTAAAATGTAATTTTTGAATGTTTTAATAAAGACCAGTTTTCGTCGGTCTCATTCAATGTACTCAAGGAGTAACAATAACAAAGTTTCATGCAAGGACTATGCATCATTTTAAAGGTATTGATTTAATCTAGCAATAATTGAAAACAGATTGCAAAAATATTAATTCTGAAAAAAGTTCTAGTCATTTTAGTGAATCAGAAAACATACTGAACCGCAACCAGAATAGGTAAAAACACAAAAATCGCAAAAAAATTTATGAAATACACTTTTTTAAGTTTTAATAGTCATAAATATCATGTGTCATCATGAAAAACCTAAAAACAATACCTAATTTTGTTTCTAAGTGATATTTCTAGAAATGACGTTTTTGAGATTTTTTGTTGTTTAGGGTCGTTCACAAACAAGTCCTAAATTCATGACCAAGATAATACTAAACTACAAAGTATTATATATCCTTAGAAAGGTCTAGACTTAAGCTACAATAAACTGTAAACAGAATTAAAAAATATTGAGGTACACAAAAATAAAAGCAGTTTGAGTGATGCGAAAACCATACAAGTCGTCAGATATGAAAAGTACCCTATATATCGGCAGATTTTGAAGTTTTTGAAAAAATTTCTTCGCAATTTGTTTGTCATCGAAAAATAACACAAAACTTATTTATTGTTGTTGTTTCGTAACTTTTATAAGATATTTTATTTTTTGTTGAATTATTCTACTACTTATTTAAATCAATTTATCTCAAAAAAGTACCAAACAAATTTTGATGTTTATACATTTTTGAAAACTAGAAGACAGAGACTAAAACACAATGTGCTTATATGACTGAAAAGTGGCCATTTAAGATCTTTGCGGCATGCTTGAATATATTTTTCATAGAATTTTCACACATTTCTTCCCATACTGGTACCAAAACTACAAAATTACAAATTTTGTACATTATCAAAACAAAGCTCTTACATGACACTATTAGAAACCGAAAAGCGTTTCTTAATATCTTTAACTATTAAAAAGATGTGACAGTTTAAATCAGACGTGAAAAAATCAAAATTTTCACTCATTTTCAACTTCAAACATCCACAGAATTGTAAAAACAGCATCAAATTACCTGAAATTTGGCACAGAAGTCAATTTTGATGTCCTCTACAAGAAAAAATAACCCTGAAAGCGTAGTTCTAAACTGTTCAAAAATTTCCTTAATTGCCGCTTTTTTTCAATTTTGCCCCATAGTGTGTTGTTGATGTTGTAAGTTTGCCAAGATAGATAAGAAACTGCTTTGGCTGGAGTTGTGTGGATATAGCTTGGAATGTTTTCAAGTTGGTGGGTACAGTCATAAATTTGGATAATAGATAGGACAGTTATCTAGTGTTTCCAGTTATCAAGAATTATGAGATTGAAGATGTTCATTAATTTGAGGATATTCAGTTCTATTTGATATTCCCTGATTCTGATTAGTACTCTTCGCAGCCAGGCACTTCATCAACTAGGACAAGTACGATAAATAGTTGATTAAATACATATAAACAGTTAAGTGCCTTGCTGGTCGAATAGGTAAGGCGCTTGGCTCAAATTTAATATGTTAATTCGAAGGTCATGGGTTCGAATCCAGCCATTTACAAATTTGTTCTTTTTCAGAAGTAAAGATCCTTCGATTGCTTAATGTACGAGATCAAGCCATAATTGGGCATTTGGGCAACGTTAGTCGTCAATAAAGTGCAATTAAAACATAAACAAAAACTCATTTTTCGAGAAAGAGTCTCAAAATTAGGTTTAGAATGGAATAGAATGTAATGTAGGGTTTTGCTAATAGCAAAAGCGGCACTGCGATCGATGATCTGTTGTACCATCCCAAGTCCCCTATGTTTAAATAAATATATCTCTCCTTAATAAAGCCAATAATGTCCTGATAATGCTGCTTATTTATTAAATTAGGTTTAATAAGGTAAGAATAACAATTGACTGTTGCAGAACTTAGTATAGAGCATCACCCTGAGGGTCAAACAGGAAAAAAGACCCCAGACTTTCCATGTGATCAAATCTCCTCCAAACTCAAACTTCCTAGATTTCCTTCATCCAGAAAAATTCAATTCCTTTCACAAAAAAGAAAACTCCTTAAAATTCTCCCCAAAGGCACTTCCTGTTGATTGAAAGAAGAATCACGTCAATTTATGTTTTGAATACCTTTCAAAAGATCTCACTCAGAATTTATTGCGTATTTAGAAAACAAGAAGCTCGGTTTCATATTCTCTAAGGAGATGAAACACAATTTTTTGATGTATACAAATTGAATTTCTCGGAACCTCAATCATATTATTTGCTTTGCCATGGTACCGTGAAGTGGAAAAAGCCTTCCATACAATTAATTTGCTAGAACTTTTTATCCAAAAATGTATCTAACTTGATGGCTTGTCAAGAATCAATATTGTACGATATTCATTCAAAAAAAAAACTCTATTCCCACATTGAATATCAAGCATAAGAAAAATAAGCTATTAAAATAAATGCATATTTTTTTACGACGTATCTAAAGAAAACATTGTTGTCTGCAGATCATAAAACCGATAAACTTTTCTTCGATTTTTCCAATATTGAATTTCTTTATGCATGAAAATGCGCATATAATCAAAACATTTTGCAAGCATCGCTGTCATATCGCTCAATTTAAAGGTTATGAAATTGTAATTGATGTTTTTTCCAATTTTTTGTTTAAATTTTTTTTTATGTTTTCCACATAAAATGTTAATATTTGATGTAGGCGCATGCAAATGAATGCTTGTATGACATTTTCATCCGATGAACATAATTGCTTCATCATCGTTAAATTCTTGAACGTTTACAGTCAATTTAGTATTCTATGATCGTAATAACATGTGTACGTTTTAGATTCCATCGAAAATAAAAGAGGTTTTGTAGACAACCTGACTCAAAAATTATTCTGGAACTGCGACACATTAGGAGGGAGTGTGGGGAGTTTATGTTGATGGCATTTGAATAGAGTTGAAGAAACTGTTGAGTATGAATTGAGGTAAATGACGTTGGGGTCGTTCACTTGGAGATTATTAGGGAATTACGTCATCCTAGAAAAAGGTTAAGGTCGCAAGACGTCGGAGCACTCTCATGCAGTCCCTTTACGTCTTCAATGTGGATTTTGTAATTACACGAGAACTGACCTAAGCCAAGCATTCATTTAACATCATTTGACAATTCTTAAAAGACCTCTATAGTATCTAACCTTCAGCTTCACCGGAGACTACAAATATTTTTGAACTTCCAAAACTTTCTTTACTCAAAACTGCCCCAGACAGCAGACAACAGCTTCATAATAAATAATGTCCTAGAATTTATCAAGAAATTTACAGAAGTCAAAACAATTGACTCAATTAAAGACATCTGAGCAAACATCATCATGTCTACAAATATTTTCAGCACCTGTCAATTTCCGGAGCACCACATGGTCAACATTCTCTACATTCACAAACATCTCACATGGAGAAAAATGTTGCGTCATTTATTATTTCCCATAGAATCGTCTAACAAATCAAGACAACGATGTCGTCGCTGCATCAAGTGGAAAAGCACATTGTTTGTTTATTGCTTGAAAATCGATTTCTTTGCATGAATATTTTTTTAAATTGAATTAAAAATGATAAGAAAATTTCATGAATGAACGTCAGTCGGTGAATAAAATTCGACTGGCACAGAAATAAGAAGAAAAAGACTTCATGAAGACCATTCAATTACTTTCGGTTTCGACTTCAATCTTCGCACATTTTTCTGATAAGGAAATTATGAAGAAGGATGCAAAGAAGAAAATTTTCATATGAAAATGTTGTACGTGGGTGGTGCGCAGGGCTTCTGAACTAGCGCACCGAAAAAACTTTTTTTTTTCTTTTTCTGTGAATACATAAATGAATTGTGTTGAGGCATGAATGAATGAATATGAAAAAAGAAGATTTGGGACATTCAAGTTGGGAATTCGGAATGAATGGAAGGGAAATAAAATAAAGTACTGACAGAAAATCTAGGGCAATTGTGCATAGAGTTACAGTTGGATAACGACAAAATGTGATTTAGTTGTAATACAAGTTGGGATTTTACGGATATGATGGAAACCTAAAGAAGCTGAGCTTTGAAGATGTATCAATTCACAAATTTTCTATTTTTACAGGAAGTAGGAATACAAAACAGTCTAATACAATAACTTCTGCAGTGACGTAACATCCAAACGACTCCATAGAGAATTTGTTATTTATTAAGAATGAGATGTTGTTGATAATTTTTCGTAGAAAAACATAAGTGTGGAAATGGAAATGGAAGTAATGCGAAAGCATAAAAAACATGTCCTTGGAATCGGCCATTCAAGTTCACTTCTGTTAAGTACAATAAATCCTAAAATAATAGTTTCTGTTTTCATTGGCTATGCTATAAGCTATAACGTGACGTCAAAATATGTTTTTGGGAGAATTTTGTCAGATTATTTTTGTTATTTTAACTTAGAAGTGGAATTTAGGATCGCAATCCATCAACACCAGAAGCTGTTCTGCTTCAATTCTTTATCAAGTTGATTGCACTTCCATCAAAATGAAAAATGTTTAAATTTTATCAAAAATGTTTCGAAACAAACAAAATTTCTTCTTTCTTAGCCGTTTTTATTAAGGAACAGATTTGACAAGCTTATGAGACAGCTGAAACTTTGAAGAAAAATTCAACAAGATTTGAAAACAACAACAGTTTGAATTAAATGCTTTGAAGCATCTTTGAAGGAAAGATTTAACAACTTTTAATAAAAGCTTGAGCATGCTTGAAGACTTTACTTTTATTATGTTAAGGCATTGTTATGATGTGTTAGAAAAAAATTGAAATTGTGTCGTTGTTGACTGTTTGTTTGGAACTTCTGTAGGCTCTACAGCATACTTGGAATTTTATTAGAAGTTGTTCTTAGTTGAAATTATTAAAAATTCATGAATATTCAGAATTTGAGTAAATCCTTCATTTAGGCATTAAAAAATCTAGTAAATGTTTAAATCTTAGATGCAATATTTAAATCATTCCAGTCTCTCGAATGTAGGAACTCAATCAATTCCATTCAATACTTTATCAATGTCATCCATGATTCCGATGTTATAATAATGTGTGAAGGGCTCAGCCTTTCAGCTTGAGGCACTGCGATTCAACTTTATTCTGACGTTAATTTCCACTAATTATAACAAAAGTTAAAACCTCAATCTCCTCGCCATGATCTCATTAAAAACCCTATATCAATTTTCAAACTCTACAATAAATTTCCCTGACCTTATCAGACATCAGAAAGTGAAACTGTTCAGTAAATAAATATTGCACCCACTTTTTAATTGATATTGATTGATATAAATTACAATGAGGCTTATGAAAGTCTTTGTCATTTTCATTGCAAGGTTGAAATAGTGTAATGTACTGTTAAACTTATTATCTGACCTAAATCGAAACTGAATGTGTTGGAATGATTTTAAGGTTAGAATATTTGTGCAATGCTTATCTGATTTGGTGACATTACTGAAGAGGTTAGCTTTAGATTTTTGAAAAATTCAAGGATGCGGAACTGATCAAAATGATCAAAAATTATCAAAAATGATATAAAATGAACAAAAATGATTAAAAATGACCAAAATTGATCAAAATCTAATTTATCAGTTCCGCTAGCTTGGAAAAATTAGAATTATTTTTGTTAAAATGACAAATCAAATTCCAGAAGATTCAGTATTTTTATTTTAAAGGTTTATCAGCCTACGTCAATATCAGAACGTTGTGGAATTTATCGATTTGCATGATTTGAGTGTCTAGTTGCAGATAGAATTCGATTCGTTCTAGATTCTGCAACTAGATTGTATTTCCATCTTTGTATTGACAAAGCTACACAAAAAAAGCTTCTTTATTAAGATCAAGGCGTGGAAACTCAAGATTAATCCCAATGCTAGCAAACAGAAATTTTTGAGTTCTTATTATTCGAACTTCGAATTTTTGAGGTTCTTATTTTTCGAAAATCGAATCTTCGAAGTTCTTATTTTTAAAAAAATTCGTTGTGAATTATAATTTTTCGAGTAATTTGTAATTTTAGTGAACATTCCTACTAGTTTTTATGACTAAGATAATCACTGTGATGAAATTGCATTCCTTAAATGTTTATGCTTTAAACAACAGCTAGTTTAAAAAAAAATAAAAAGTAACGGACTTTCTTATTTTGAAATTTTAAAAAAATACCGCGCAAAAATTTTTGAAATTTTTTTGTTTGTAACGGACTCTGTTCTCTTTGCTAACATTGGGATTAATCCTGAAAAATCCTGAAAAATCCTGAAAATCCTAAAAAAATCCCTGAGACAATAAACATGAAAATGTGAAATTTCATATAAATCCTGAAATTATTCATCAAATGCGTCAGGGATTGAAAAGGAATTTTACATTTTCATGTTTATCGGCTCAGGGATTTTCTAGGATTTTTGGGATTTTTTTGGAATAATCCTGAGTTTCCACGTCTTGATTAAGACAGAATCTACATTCTACCTCTAATGTAGACATCTACATTTGTCACACTGTTTCAAATCCACAGCAGCAGCCTTATTCTTGACAAAATCCAATTCCATGTCGGAATCAAAATTAAATTTATTTAAATTACGACTCAAAATCTGACAAACTTTCACCAAAGGGGCTTAATGTCATAAAAACATTCAAATACCGCAGGGAAGATAATTCATGTATTTTATATTCATAAAAAGGAATGAAAGAAAATGATTACGCATTTTCCATGTCACATTATGTTTTGCACTTTACCTGAAGGCTCACTTCGTGTTCTCGTCTTCATTTCTTTTATCTCATCAATACTCAGTACTTTCTTCTTCCTTAATATATTTGTAAAGAACATGAATGGAGCACCCTTTTTCTTATTTCTACTGCTTCTACCATTATTACTACTACTACTGTTATTGTTATTTTTATGTCGCTCATAGTCACTTGACGAAGACATTTGTAACATTTTTAATAGACTTAATTTTTAATTGATTTAAACTTTTTTTTTAATTTTATTCGAATTAATTTTTACACACTATAATTATCATAATTAAATACACGCACAAAACTTTCGCGATAATGACAACAAAATTCGAGATCGATAAAAATTTTCAGTATTTTTTTTTTATTTGACGCGAAACACAAAATAAAAATAATGTTCGTAACGAAAGCTTTGATTAACAGTGAGTGAGTGCACTTAATTTTGTTATCAACCTTAAAAAAAAAATTTATTTTTTCAACTACTGATAAATACTATCGTTACACTTTGCTCTAGTTTCTATGTTTACTTATTATTGACTTTGATAGTAACAACTGTCTAATGATTTAATACTCTTTCTTTTCTTTATTATTATTATTTTTTCAAATGTGTAACTTGACTTTTTTTTTGTGTATTTCTCTTCGATTTCTGCTCTGATTGATAAGCGAAAAAATACTGGAACACATTGAAAAAATTTCATTCTGTTTTCTCTCATTTTCGACCCTTTTTTTCATACATATCGCATGATATCAACGATTTTATGTTGTGTGAGGGCGAGCAAAAGCACGAGTATGCGCAGAATTTCAAAATCAGGGGGTGAGCTTTTAAATGAGGAATTCATTTTACATGTCGGACTGACTTTGATTTGAATACTTTGGAAGTTTATCTCAACTGTCATTTTCAGATTGTGTCGATATAGCTGCTGTGTGCTATGCTGTATATGTTACTTACGATCTCATTATATCACGTTGAATGACTTAATCGTGAGGAAATTTAATAGTTTTCAATGAGTGTCATTAGGGATCGTTCACTTATGACGTCCGAAATTAACGGTCATTTTTCAAAAAAGAACAATGGATTTCCAAGAATTTCTATTGTTCTTCTCTTGCTGACCCCCCCCCCCCCCCCCCCCTGGACGTCATTAGTGAACGGCCCCTTAGAGAAGCTTATAGATATTGATTTTTTTTTTCTACAGATGATGACTTCCAGAGGGGATTTTTTCATCAATATTTAACATTTATTGGAAATCGTTAAGGGGTCGTTCATAAATTACGTTTCTAAGTTCTATCAAATCTCAATTTTCAGAACCTGTCACATTAGTTTCTAATTTAAATGCACATAAGATCAATTTGAGAGCTCTAGTCATCTTAGTTGGACATAGCTGATGAGTATACCCCTAAAAGTCTCTTCAACATTCTATTTCATCCATAATTTATTAATTACCAATATAAGCGCAGCAATTAAGTTCTAGCCGAGTAAATTTGCACTTAATTGCAAGCAGACATTCTAAATTACACCATCCATAAGATATAACATAACCATTGCATGTCAAAATTACTTTTTTCAGCTATCATGCCAGCATATCACAAAATCACATATTTTCCCATCGACAAGCTTGGGTTATGAAAAATGAAAACGACATACAAGACACAAAAAAACCTTAAAATTGCCCATAAGGAATAAATTTATAATCATCTGACAAAGCAAATGAAGATGACAATATTGTTGTTGCACGACCCATGTGTGTGGTCATGCCAATGAATGATATTCACAATGATATTCATTTCTATCTCTCGAGCATTGAAGAAAACAAAAAGAAACTGATTTGATAATTTTTTTTCTCCTCTTTTTTTTTTCTTCTCATTTCATCCAATATGACATTATTTACTCATTCGCTATTAATATGAATTATACAAACATAAGAAAACTGGAATGGAGCTTTGGTGGTACAAAAAATGATGATGGGATGATGGGGGAAAGTATTGGATGTGATGGAATATGTGGCGCATTTTATTGATTGGTATGAGCAATATTTCTACTAAAACATCATCTAGGGAGCTAAATAAGCTAAGTATGACATATATTATTAGGTTCCTTAATATCTCCGATGAAAAAAGTAAGAGATTTAAATGAATAAGACTCTCTAGACTTTTAATTGTCAACATTAAATCAATTCAGTACGTTGAGGATTGATTTTTGGGTCCATATTATTCTGGAATTAAACAAACTTCTTAACTAATCAAGTGGTTCGGATCCCACTTTAAACTGTAGGTCTAAATGGTGTTGTACAATAGATTTTGTTCTAATTTGAATCGCAGTGCCTCCAGCTGAAAGGCTCGGCCCTTTACACATTATTATTATAAACTAATTTAAAAGAAGCTGTAACGTCATCACCATTGCGTTAATCCATGTCATATTGACAACACTTTGTGGAATAATTCGAGAGTTCTTCCTCTAATGAGAACCCAAATGTCACAAGTCGGTTAATCGAATATCGGCATGACTCTGGCGTGGTACTGCCTTCAATTTAAATCCAGCACCATGTCAGAGTCACACCAGCTTTGCACCGGATTTCTAATCGATTATCCGACTTGTGCCATTCGGGAATGGAACTCACGGTCTTTAATATTGTTATAAAATTTCAGTCTTTTGACTTGCCAATCAACCACAGAGACCTTACTATAGAACTAGCAAATTCACTTACATTCTACTCGATACACCAGATTCCACTCTGCTTGGACACAACAAAGTTCTAACTCCAATATTCTCAAATTCATAACTTCATATCCATAAATATCGAAGTCACTGATACCTACAATGTTGACTTTAAGTCCAGAAAATAAGAACTTCAATCTTTAAAGCTACTTAACCTTAACCTCTCGAAAATTCGCACATCTTATCGTAAATCATGAAGACAAAGTGCCCATAAAACCACACTAAATCTTCCTTAAACGACTCGTCTTCAAAAGAATTTGTTTAAGATGAATGAGTACAATGAATGACTGTTTTCTATTTGTGGCTCACCGTCCAGCTCATTTTTGATTAATAATTGAAATTAAAATTTTTCTTTCCTTATGTATGCATTAATAAAATAAAAAAAAAATATAAATAAAAAGTTAGAGTTGATTTAAATTACAATGAGGCTCCTCATCTTTATTTCTTGTTGTCTTTTTCTCATCTTCGACTCAACAGCAACGAGTTTATGTCAAATATGGCGATATGATATATGGATGGCTTTTATGATTTGCAATTTGTTACAGCCCTGAATTAAATGAGACGGAGAGAGACTTCTCGTGAATGTTTATGAGGAAAGAAAATTGAATATGATATTATTATTTTTATTATTATTTTAACGATGCTGTATTAGGTTGAGAAATTTCATAGATGATGATAATCTAGCCATATAAACGTGAGTTATGTTCCACATGTAATGTACATTTATTGTGCATTTTGATTTTACATACATTCCCTAACAGACAAAGAGCATGCTCTCAATGAGTATGCTCACTAAAATATACTAGCTGAGTATGCTCACGAGTTAACTCAGTCAGTACATTTAAGTGAGCATACTCATTGAGAACATGCTCTTTGTCTGTTCGGGATTACGTTCGAGTAATGTACACACATTAAATGGGTGTTGATATGGTTTGCTATCGATGCATAGACATCTATCGTCGATTCGTAAATGTTTATTCAATTTACTTTACACTGAAAAATTGACAAAGATTTTTTATGTTGACCTAGTAGCTTACCTGACTTTTGATTGAGACACAAATATTGACAGGTTTCGTAATACTAATTTACTAGTTGTGCCTACCTTTTTATGCTTTAGAGCAGTGCTTATCAAACTATGCTCCACGATCCCACTCTATGTCACCCAAAACCTTTAAAAAGTGTCATGAAGTTTCCCGAGTGGCACAAGTCGGTTAATTAATCAGAGATCCGGCACCAAGCTAGTGTGACTCTGGCATGGTGCTAGATTTAAATCGAAGCCAGCACAGAGTCAAACCGGCTGGGAACCGGATTTCTATTCGATCAACCGACTTGTGCCATTCGGGTTTATAGCTTATTTTTACTAAATGAGCCGCAGTCCAACAATGTTTGAGAATCACTCTATTGCAAGACTAGATTTTGTTGCTGTATATTCAGCAGCAGTACAAATGACGTCAGAATCCAAAAACAACAATATTCTGCAAACATAAATCCAGCATTCGTGTCGAAAAACATTCAAACATTTTCCATAAACAGGAAGTAGATAAACCACAACTCAATGAGTCAAGATTATCACAGCTTAAAAACAGTTTGACACTACAGCACTTTTCGCAAAGTAATTGAATTAGCATGAACGACCGTCAGTCAATTTATAATTCATGAATGATTTTTTTTTTGCGACAAATTTCTTCACGTCTACTTGAATTTTAAAGCATGCTGAATGAGTATTGATTACAAAATATGATTTACAAAAATCCTTGAACTGTGGCGTCATGGTGACGTCTTCATCTATGCGCAAATTTGCGACATTCGTTTGTAAGAGTCTGAATTGCTTCAATTCAATTAAGTAATTTCATTTGCATATTCTATGGGAATCTTATAAATTATTGGGGAAGTTTCAGAAATAAGAAGCTATTGATATTAATTTTGGGGGTCTGTTTGGATGTTAGGTGTTATATTGAAGATTATTAAAGGTTGAAGTGGAGCTTAACTAGAAATAGGGATGGCTTTGGCTTACAGTGAGCCAAAAAACTATATTTTTAATTGACATCACTAGTAAATGACCCCTTCCATGTAAGTCTTCCAACATTTTTGGTTGAACAATTTGGACACAAGAGAATCGGGTCAAAAACCTGAATTCAGATCATCTTTCTATCTATAGCGAATCTCCTCACATTAACTGAATAATATCATTATTATCATGATGGCTGGCAGACTATCTAGTTGATCTACTTATCACAACAAATTTCCTATTCATATCAAAAACACAAGAGCACTTAAAATTTTCAGACATGACGGCACCTGTTTGTACACACGACGATAGAAGTAGAAAACATAAACAACTTCAAACCAGGCCATGAATGAAGCCATAACAAACTTTTGATGAATACTAAAATTTCTAGTGTTACAAACTTGAAGTAAACAAGCTCAAGTACTTTATGACAACAAAATGTATCCGAATATGTAGCAACAATTAACAACATTGTATAATTTTAACTTTAAGTTCATAAATTTTACTCTCTTGTTCCAGCTTTAACAGC